GAATATAGGGATTTGGTAGGTTTCCATTCTAAAGGCTTTTTAATAAATATGGCAACATTTTGTGACGTTTCATCGTTGCTGACGCGTAGTGAAGTGTTTTGAGAGTCACGTGAAGGCAACAGAACTTACGTAATGCATACGTTTTTTTTATAGTTTTTCATTTCTCGATGCGTCCTTAAAGTGTCGGAATATACCGCGTTTACCCTAGTCTCTTATAGTCTTATTTGCTACTATGCCGGAGGGTGGCGGGTATATCATCTATGCCTGAAAACGATATGGTTACCTTTGCTTAAACCTCGGTGTCTAAGGTAGTCAGTCTCAGTCACTTGTCACTGCCTACAGCTTCTGGCACTGCGCCACTGCCTTGTAAAATTTGTAGGACTAGGAGCATTAATTTTTGTCAGAACCCAGGGTGCAGAGAGTCTGAGAGTGAGTAATCATCTGAATTCTGAATGACTGAATAACCTTGGTGACAAATTAGCTTCTAAATTTGTGCCTTCAGAAGTTCAGATGATCTTGGCATCTTGCTGACATATTTCTCTCTAAAAGTCTAAATACCTATTTGCATGTATTTTGGGCAAGAAATCTTGAAGACTTAGCATTTTAGGTAGTTTTGGTGACAAATTATTATTATCAATATTCAATAATACTGGTGAGTGCTGACATATTTTGACCAAAAGTTGTAATCTTAATGACAGAATTGCCATACTTGGTGCTTAGCATAGTATTTTATAGTAAAGTACTACCATATATATATATAAGAACCCCTTCTATACCAAATTTTGAACATAAATACACTTTTTTTATCTTAATGCAAGTTTTAAGTGAGCTAGAAGTTTAGAACTGTAAAGATTACACAAGTAGCAACTGTAGCATCATTTATAGCCTTGTTGTCTAACATGTTAATAAAAACCTCAAGAATAGGTTTAAAAATGTTTATAATTTTCCTGTTTCTCAGAAGTTACTAGCAATTTTGCTACCTAATTAGCTCTGCTTTCAACTACTTTGTAACAGCTTTGATATTCATTCTTGCCTTCATAGACATGGATATCTCAAAATTTACAAGTGCAACTTCTGAGGAAGAGACCATCTCAATTTTATGTTACTTCAATGAAAAGGTGAGAATTATATTATTATCTAATTAAATTAGTACTTAATATTAAGATGGATCTATATTAAATGCATGGTAACATAATTAAATGGACATTTATGCTTGACATTTGTAAAAGATAAGTATGTACCTACCACTGGGAAATTTAAGGGAAATTTATATTATTATAACATTATGTATATATTTTTTTCTAAACACATTATATTGTTAATATTGGCCCCCACTGTAAAACAAATTATAAGTAGTAGCAAACAGTATTACTGGTACCAAAGAAAGTAGTAATTTCATTACTATTTTGCTCCCTCAGCCTCAGGTTCTCATTTGTACAAAATTGCATCAGATTTAACTTCTATGACAAATTAATTTAGGATTTTATATCCAAACTTACCAATGTCTTGTTTTTTCTTGGCCCTCATCAACATCTGTCTTTCCAGTTTGCATCTCCATCTTTCAATGATGCCGGCAAGTTTGAGATGAGTGAATCGCAGTTTTTTGATACTTGGCATAAGTTGCTGTTTTGGCTGGGCAGCCGAGGCTCTGAGGAAGCAGCTTGCACTTACCTGAACACACTGAGGATACTCAGGTAATTATTTCTGCCATATTGCTGATGGATTGATGGTTCATAAACTATGTAAGTGTAGTTGAGTTAGTTGATTTTCTAGCCAATTAAGTTGAACATGTTTTTATAGGGGGCTAGCTGATTCAGAATTGAAATTTATTTCATATTTTAAGCAAATCCATTGGTTGATGGTCTTATCTTATGCTACTTGTCTTTTTGGTGGAGAAAAGAGTTTTATGTAGTTTGCTTGCATTTATCAATAAACTTTTCTTGGCATTGCTATTAAAAAATTAAGTTCCATTTCAGTCGAGACAGAAATTTGATGAATCAAGTTGTAACTGAACAAGATCTGGGTTTACTGATGGAATATGCTGGCCTGCCAGAGCCTGGCCTGGAGGCAGTACTACTTCAGCATAAAGGTATTTGGCTAGCACTTTGTTATTTACCTTCATTTTCTTAGCCCCACTGAATGAAGGCTGTTTTAAAAGATTATCAGCAAACAAACAGTATGACATGTTGACTTGGATAAAATTTATAGTCAATTGTTTGTAAAAAGTGATAATCGCAACAACAATAGCATTTAAAATTACTGTTTGCTTTAACAGCAGCAACAGAAGCATGTCTATGTCTAAGCAACATCATATACCAGAGCAACACTGCTCAAAGCATCTGTTGCTCACCCCACTATGTGAAAAAGACTCTGCAGCGACTCCAACAACAAGACTTGCCTCACTCTCTAATTGTGGGTTACACTCGGCTGATGTTCCTCATGACTGCACTTGTGCCACAAAACAGGTTTGAATTGGTTGTGTTGATTTTGATTTGCTGTCAATTTTTAGCCCATGGCAAATTAGAAATGAAATAGTAATAGTATATTCGAATAAAATAGAAAATTCTGTTATTCTAAAGATTTGTTATGATGGATTTTTGCTCAAACAACAATCTTACAACGGAATGAACGGATAAAATTTCTGTTCAGTGAGGCATTTGTAAGCAGTTGTTTAGTAATGACTTCAGTAATTTTAAATTGAATTTTCTCATTTCGTGCAAAGATCATTGAAAAATACCTAGTTTTTATTCAGTCCTGCAATCACTTTGCGTTACTAGATATAATTTGAAGAGCAGTGTAATTTTTTCATAGGTTTTTAATGATATAATGTGAAGCTAATATTGATGTGATTATCAGTGGGTGGTAAAGTTGTTGGAAGTGTCCTGAACGGATGATAGATGGTGTATGGTCTGTCTCTGTTTGGTGCTTGGGTTTGTTTGTCCAAGAATGGAGTAATGATCAGATCCATTTAATTTCCTAACCTGTTAGATTGATTGTATAGATTTTGTGATGTACAAATATTCTGACAGAAAAGTTGCTGCACTAGAGTACAATGCTCTGCCAGTGATGCTGCCGCTGATTAGCGCCCAAGCTAGTGTAAATGCAGACAACACCTCAAATCCACCACCGACCATGCAGGTTGGTCATTTTACATACCTTATCAAAAACGTTCAATGAAATCATTACAGCATTCTTTTAGTTGATAATTTGTTGTATGCCAAGGTTATAGTAATGTACATGTTATTCAATTTCTAGTTTCAATGCATAACCTCACTCGCTTTAATGTAGTAAATCTAGCTGCAGGGGTTGTTGTAGCCATTTTACCACTGGTGTATGAATTTACTATTGTTCATATTGTAGTTATTCTTTAGGGATTAATTATGCCTTTAAATATTCAAATTTCATTTACAACTCAGCGTGAGGCGGGGGAGCGGGTGGTGGAGGTGCTTAAGTTGTGCTACAACTTATGCGTGGGGTTGTCCAGCCCCTACAGCAGCGCTGGTGACGGTGGTGGTGGCTCACTTAAGATGGCGATGGTGGTGGACAGCAGCGTGTCTAGTGAGCATGAGCAACATATGCGGTGTCTGGTTGATCGAGTACGTCAACTTCTGCTCGCTACTGCACATACACATCAACACACACAGATCATGCACAGGTGGGATGGTGCTCTGAAATGATTGAGTGATGAGTTAATGTTTTAGACTCATCAGACATTTAGATTCATCATTTTAGATTCATCAGACCATGAGATTTACTACAACCAAAATTGGTTTCATGTAATTGTGTTTCAGAACTCTCATTTTTCTTTGCTTGGGTTGGGGAAATAGAAATTTATGAGGTTTGTTGAAATCTTGTATACTCAGATGTACACAATAAATAAAATGGAAAATGAAGTGCAATGATAAAAACTCTCTAATAAAGTTATTACAATCAAGTTGTCACAAATCTCAAAACTCTTTGAATCTTGGGAATAGGAATTTACAAGTGACATGTAGTAATTTATTTTTAGTTTTGTTTTATTTTGTATCAGGATAGATTTTATGTAGCTGTGCTGATATGTTCCTGGGATTTATTTTCACAGCTGTGTCCCAAGATTCCTGAAAAAAACTATGCAATGATGGACCTCACAGTCCTCAAGTATTGTTTATTTATAGTCATTATTGCACTCGCAGCCACTGCATCAACGTGCTGGTGTGCGTGCCCACGACGGCTCTGGCGGCGCTCACGCCTCCCTACAGCAGCAGCGGCTCCTGGTGGGGCGGCGCCTCTCAGCGACGTAAGCCTGCAGTCTTCAAAGACGCCGACATGAGTGCCCTCGTGCAAATCTTGTCCTTCCTGCACGCCAGGCTCAATGCCGTGGGTCGCGAATCAATTGTTTATATGCTAGGCATTGAAAAATAATGGCGATTTCTTGTGTTTATAGCCCCACGCCACCAATTATTGCTTCCAATTTTTAATGATGACTTCACTCTTGCAGTTAGTGCTTTGGAATCCGCGCCAGAATTTTCACTACAAATCCCTATATGACATTAGCTGAACAAGTTGTTGCAATTCATTGAGTTTTTAAAGTACAGACTCACTGGTCAGGGTGAAGCTCAGAGCAGCGAGAACCTGACGCCTGTGTTGACGATGCTGGTGACTGTGTGCCAAAGTAGCAGTAAGGTGAGGCAGTTTGTGAGACAGCGCGTTCTGCCGCCTCTCAAGGACGTGACTCATCGCCCTGAAGAGGGCAACAGCCTCAGAGGTCGGCTAGTCAAGCTCATGACTTCACCTGTCATGGAGCTGAAGCATCTCTCTGCTACGCTGCTTTTTGTGCTGTGCAAGCAGAGCGGTGAGTACAATTGTTGAGGATGCCAATCTGTATGTTTATGTCAGCTGATAGCAAATGCCGTCGCGGATATTGACGGATTATTTGTCAAAGCTTTCAACTCGTCAGTGTATGTGTTAAACTCATGAATGGTGGTACTTTCAGTATGTAACTACTATGGTGACTGAAAAGTTTTTAGTTTTATTATTGTAGTATAGTATGTGCTAAACAAGTTCAAGGCCAGTTTTTGATTTAGTGCAACTATATTTCCAAATACTTAGAAATCATTCCACTCGCTACTGTCAAACGGTGGGTGTAGAGAGAATTGAATAGCCTTAAGGCATATTTGCCTCACAGTGGAGCGTCTGATCAAGTACAGCGGGTACGGCAACTGCGCTGGTTTGCTGGCGTCGCTGGGGCTGCTGGCAGGCGGTGAGCTGAGCACCGAGACACACGAGCAGTCAGAGTCTGAGGACAGCGACACTGAAGAGTACCATAGAGTGCGACATATGTGAGTCCAGTTGCTTTATCTTTTCTCATGCCTGAAAGTATTGGTCACATACATTGTGTTACTGGATTATATTGGTGTATTGAGAGATGTTAATTGATGATCATTCATATCGGAAGCCTTATGCATTTAATGCATTGTGTTGATAGATTATGTTGGTGTATGGGGAGATGGTAATTGATAAACATTCAGATCGGATGCCTTATGCATTTAGAACTGGAATTTTCATTTGGTCTCAATGTCTCTGAAGCTCCAAGGTCCGGAAGGACGACGGGAAAAGAAAGCGATAACATTGTATATTTTTTTGCCTCCCTACTCAAGTCTAAAGTCACTTGATAACGTAAATTTAATGATAACTATATTTACTCAATTACATTATGCAAGTACGGTAGCCTTGAAATTTATTTTTGAGAAACTTTTTCCTTCCTAACTTGAAAACTGCATTTTTTACGAGCGTTAATGCTCAAATAATTATACAGTGGTTTGTTGCGAGGTAGCTTTACGATAATGTTCGAGTAATTATACTAAAGTTTGTTGCAGGGTAAATATACAATAATGTTCAAGTAATTGTGCTGAGGATTGTTGCAGGGTAAACCCTGTGACCGGGTGCTATGAGCCTGTCCGGCCTAACCCCATGGAGAACATGTCCGAGGAGCAGAAAGAATATGAAGCCATCAAGCTGGTCAATACCTTGGATAAACTCATCAGGTAATTTGTTGTGAAATCCAACGCTATTAGTCTTCTAAATGTGAATGATAATTAAGGCCTAGGATCATAAACAAATAACATGGGATAGAATTTGCTTTCAATAAAGAACTTTCTACTACATTTATCATCCAAGTATATGAAAACAACCGTATTCTGTTCATAAGTTTCTGCAAGAATTTACCGAACTTGATTTTTTGGTGTATGCAAGACAAACAAGATGACTTGATATCATCGGCAAAATGAAATTTTATTCCATGCATGTCTTTCCTTAATGCATAGATTTATTTTTTCATGCTCCTGCTAATATCAATTGGTGTTGTTATTTGGTTGCCCTCTCTTATTTTAGCATTGTTCTTATGTTATAAACAAATTAATTTTCTTAAATATATTGGATCTCATCATGAATGAATTATATCTGACATTTCTCATTAGATCTTGCTGTTGTAATTAATGAAAGGACCTCCTGCTGTTAATAAGGAACAAGTTGCATAAATTTAAAGCCACTCATTGCCATGAACTGTCTCAGTATCGAATAATTTCCGACCACAAAGGTGAGTGAGCAGGATTTGAGATGCTGCAACTAATGTTACGAGGGGCATCCGGAAAGTACCTAGTACCTATTTGGTAATTGAACAAAAGGAAATAAATATTAACAAATGTAAACATGTTTATTGAAAAGAACATGTATTACACTATTTCTCGACATAATCTCCGGACAAATTTAAGCATTTGTTGTATCGTGTCACAAGTTTTTGTATGCCAGTGTCATATGCTTCCTCCGCCAGTGTATTGAGATACGTAGTCGCATGTTCTTGCAGTTCTTCGTCATTTTGAAACTTTGTCCCTGCCAGGAAGTCCTTGAGTTTCGGAAACCGATGAATATCTGAAAGGATCCAAGTCCGGACTGTAAGGTGGATGGTCGAAAATTTCCCACTTGAATTTTTGGAGAAGTTGTGTTATCTGAGCCGTATGTGGCCTGGCATCATCGTGCAGGAAAATGATGCCAGTAGACAACGTTGCACAAAATGCATTAATGTTTCACAATATGCATTGGCATTGATTGTGTCTCCACAGGTCATGAAATCAATGAGCAATACACCTTGCCAATCCCAGAAACAATGGCGGCGGAGGAATACGACACTGGCATTCAAAAACTCGTGACACGATACGACAAATGCTTAACTTTGTCCAGAGACTATGTAGAGTAGTAGTGTAATACATGTTCTTTTCAAGAAACATGTCTACATTTGTTCATATTTACTTCCTTTTGTTCAATTCCCAAACTGGTACTACTTTCCGGATGCCCCTCGTAATAGCGAACTCCGTTGAAGATTCCTCTCAGTGAAGAAAAAAATGTCGGTGCACATTATGGTTAACGGTAAATTGAATAAATAACGGTGAATGGGAGCAGAATTTATGCAATCAGGTCAGGTGATATCAAGCCGTGCGGCGTTGGTGCAGACGGCAAGCCGCAGCCGCTGGAGCACGTCATGCAGCTGCAGGACAGCGCATGCTTCACTCGCGCCAGCACCGACCCCCAGCCTGACGACCAACACTCTGACTCTGACTAGATCCTATGATGATAATTTGATCACAATACTGTGGTTCTTAACATCATTTTGTTGAGTAATATTCCGACTACATCCCGTGTACATCTGTTCATATAACACTCGTTCTTAAATAAATATGCTGAATCAGTATAGTGAAATACATCATATACGTTCTAATGCAGATAAATATCTATTATTTGGTGAGTAGTATTAAATGAATATTCGGAATGCGATGCTTCCTATAATATACTATCAAGTTATTGGTAGTTATAATTTTTTTTTATTTTTGTATGAATTTGATACAATGTTTAATAGTAATAAATTAAATTATAGATTCTAACTTGAAGCTGCAATCTTTTTTGACGATTTGTATATCATGATATTTGTATTGTAGGTTTTGTCTTATTTAAATTTCCGTTGTATCGTAACAACATTTGAAGTGATTGCTTAGTAGCATTGCTACTTATGAAAGTAAGTAAAAGGCTCGCATTCCCTAACTGTGATTTTCGAAAATATAGGGCCTTCCGGTTCTACAGCTACAAACGCCGACTGTTAGCTGCTTGTTGCCGTGCAAATGTAGGTCACCGTATTGACATTTCTCTATGCATCTAATTATGTGTAATTTATGTCGTGAAACTAACGACGTTAATATCTTGTCAATTTGTCTGACCGTCACATTTCTTCACAATGTTCTGCTGTACACACAGGATACAAATGTTTTACATAATAATTAATTAACGTTGTGTGAAGAACTTTCATAAATCTGGCTACTGGTGATCGTGGAAACATAGGCAATGAGGTTTTATAATCAATTACGTCTAATTTTGCATGCTTGGATCAGTTTGTGACTTTGTGTATCAATTACGATTTCAATACTTACGCAAGCGCCTGGTGATTTGACCAGACATTTTTTAATCTTAGCATGTTAGAACGGGATTAGTTTTTTATGGTGCAGCGTCCTCATTATTGAGTTCAGTGGAGTAGCATTGGATATTTCGTCCCTCTAGTCATGGTTTATTAACCTCGTAGTCCGTTGATGAATGTAATGCGAAACTGTATTTATAATCTCGTTGTAGTTTGTAATTGATTGTATCACTTTACTTCTGCTTGGTTTAATGTGCCAAAGTTGATGTTTGAGACGTCACACTTACAGTGTATCCTTGGTTTAAGGAGCGCTGAACCCTATTCATCATGGACGAAGAGTGCAGCTTAATTTATATGTGGGATTTGAAAAATTTCATTAGTAGTGAACACGTTTTGGATTCTCTTCCAATGTTTGTATCTGAATGATGAAAGTAATTAAATTTCTACAGTTTTTGAGTGAATACTTCACATCATGAAATGTATTAATTTAAGGGAATATTTTTCTGGTACATTTGTTCAGTTGTTGCCTGTAATTTCCATGCAGCGGTCGAAAAACAAAACCTTGCCTGAAGTCGCTGGAGAACTAAATACATTTAACATCAAACAATTATATAATCCTTGATCCTATTGAAGTTGCATTAATCGAATCAAGTTTTGATGTAGTGTTGAATCTACTTGCGTAATTGATGACAAATCAATGCTATATTGGAACCCATGGGTGCTCTTATTATTTTCTAAGGTTTTGCTGAAAATGTGCAAGTCAAGCTCATCTCATCTTGCTTCGAATTATCGAATTTCTGAATTACCAAATACTATTTGGGTTTATGTGTGTGGTTTTACAGATTTTTTTTCAGAACCGCCCTCGGAAAAGTATTCAGATCAATCTATTCTGTCACTAAATTTTCTAATGATTTTGTTGTAGAAAATATACTTATAGCATGAGGACTGTCTTCGAAGCAACTCGAATTTTAACAAATACATTTAAATGCTTGCAAACTACAACAATTCAAAAAATCCCTCCGCCCATAGGCTTACTCAGAAATTGCGAATATTACTATTCGGCTAGGCTTCTGCCTAGCATCGATGGATCTCTATGATCTTGAAAACCGTGAGTTTACGTTACAACCATTTTTCATGTTGGAAGCACATCTGCACGTCTGTTTAAATTAGCTGTATTGCAATTAATTTGCATTCATATTTCACGGTAGAATGTATGGACGCGCTACTTGGGCTACTACTTAATGCTTAGAAGTAAAAGTAATGCATTAGGTAAAATTATCAATGCGGTAGAAATTCACTTCACAGCGGTGTGTAACACAGTGCATCAACTATCAAAAGTTCTTTAAAATCATTCAGTTCTAATGCGTCGAAATTTTAGCCCTTAGACAACCATACTGAAAATGAATATGTGCTGGTTTCACTTATATGGTGTGACTGAAAACGAGCACATGCTAAACGCGTCCGAAGGTTATCTCCGTATTAATGTTAAAAATTAACCCTAGAAGCAGTGAAACCTGCAAGTAGTTTAGCAGTGATGGTAACCGTCTTTAGTAATCATCAAACGGCACGGTGATCGAATTGCCAGAATTAAATGAAGGTGGTAAATTATAATAAAGTATAGTGAACGCCAAAAAAAGAATAAAGTTAATCTTGTTCTGTAATGACAAAATTTAATAAAAATCACGACGAATGGCAACAATTCTTTAAAAACGCGCTCGCGCTTTAAAACTTTCAAGTTGCTGTTGCACCTTTAAATAAAATAATGCCATACCTGAACGATTTGTAAAATTAGTGCTAAAAAATGTTAAGCCGTATCATGTACTTCTAGCTCCTACTAATTTAATATTTTTTATTCATTAATATATTGTGACAGTAGCTTCGTTTTAAATTTGATCAAGATCGGTTTCGCTTTGACAGAGTTAGCTTGCAACATCTGCAATGAAAATTCGCACCAAATAATGAATCCCAAGGCGGTTGGAGCATAAAAAGAAGTTACGTTACTATATTTTAATGTAATAAGTTTTAGCTGCACACCATTGAAGAATTTCTTACTTGTAAAATGTTATATCAAATGTAGTCGTGCGCGCATATGCGAGTGCAAATTTGTAATGACTTGCTGGCGTTCAAATATTCTTACGATGCGTTTTAGACTCATATATATACAATGTATTAGTATTTTCTTGTAAAATTATAAATTAATAAAAGTGGTCATTCAGTTGTGTAGTGTATTTTTTAAGATAACTCAACATCACTCGGATGCATGTTTTAAAATATCCAATCATGTTTGCGTTTTTACGTGGGATTTTTCAAATGAGCAAGAAAAGCCAAATTTATGAAATATGTATTCTTAATAAACACATTTTTCTCAACACATGCACTGCAAAACATGTTTATTTTCCCAAAAAGGAGATTGAACATGATATTGAATCCAAACTATCCGAATTACAAATTTTTGCAACTAGATTATTGACTTTCTTCTCAAATTCTGTTAGTAAGTTTTGTCTCGAACAGTCTTTCTTTCAGCACGTGCATACGAGCTGAATTAGAATCGATGTTGGTGAGCACGATCCGTTCTCCGTTGATGTTACATAAATTCGGTTAATATTGCATTTGAAATTCTTCTCTACGAACTATGAATATGGAATGTATATCCGTTTGTTATATCTTCATTACAATACATGCCTTGTAGTTGTAGTCGTAGACTTTGCTAAGGTCTTCACAGTAGGTATCGTTGTTCGGCGTGTACGCTCATTCTCGCATTTCAGTTTTAAACTCAGTTTCAGTGTGTCCGTCATCCTCAACTTCTCAAGTTTTACCTATTCAAATTCAGGATGCAGAATGATTACACTGTATTTGATGATTTTGATCGATAGATTACTAACTAAAATTTCTTGGGTTTGATTAGGACTTTGATGCCTCCACAGTAACACTAACATTTTTAGTGGTAGATTTGCCATTTGACTAGTTTATCTTGTCAATGAATGAGGTAGTTTAGTCAATAATCAAATGAAAATTGATTCATTTGATTGAAATTTTACAGCCATGAAAAAAGCTAAACCTTTCATCATTTCATGGTGCCGGTGGAAAATGAGAGTATTTTCTTGACCTCTGTGATTTGGCAAGCCCTTACTATTTACTCCCAGTCCCATAGGATAGCGAACAAACTTTTTACTACATAAGCCTAAGGCAATTTAAACTGAACTGAGTAGTGAGTAAAAATATCTCATTAAGTCTGAGTCAAAAAATCCCCTAGTCTATTATTATAAATTTGTCATTACTTTGGATAAACAACACAGGATTTGCCACTTGGCACTCGGCAGCTACTGCACTTAACTCGCCGCTTGTTAAATATTGTGTAAAATGTAATTGTAAATAGTATTACTAGTCATGTTCAGAATTACAATTCGTACCTAGCATTCAATGGCCACCTAAGAACAAACAAGATTTTTTGATCATGCTAGAAAGTTGTGGCCTGGTATTGTTATTAACCCTTTACACCCTGAATTTCTGGGATGAAAATCGTAAAATTCACTTTTTCGGTTTTAAGTCTCACTTCAAAGCTGACATTCTGACCTATCCAACGGTACCAAAATCGTCTCTGTATGTTGATTTATGCCTTGACGACAGTTCGTGAAAGGGTTAGGGGTGGCACCGTGGGGGAGTTCTTTAACATTTTATATGGGCAAAAATTACTGGTCGGGCACATAAATAGACAACCTGAAGACGCTGCTCTTTAGTTACCCGGCTGCTGTTGTGTGGGATGGTGCTCATGCAGTCGTTCCCACCATCCTGGACTGAATTTCGGCTCCAGTAATGTCTAGTCTTGCATCCATGTCACCTTGAATGCCTATTTTGATGTGTGGGATGGTGCTCATGCAGTCGTTCCCACCATCCTTGACTGAATTTCGGCTCCAGTAATGTCTACTCTTGCATCTATGTCACCTTGAATGCCTATTTTGAGGGGCTCGGGACTTTGTCGCGCCCTACTGAACATTCACACTTATTGTCACTGCAAACCTATCTCCTCCCAGAGTTTTTAAGCTACAGGCCTAACAGCAATGAGTAATATACCGTTCGATTTGCAAATAAAATATCTAGAGATTGGTCGAAGCTTTTTTTCATTTTCGTTATAGTTTTGAAAATATTTTGAAAAAAGGGAAGGGGAAATTCAAAAGGGAGGGGGGAGAAACCAATTTTTTTGAAAAATGCCCACCCCACCCACAAAAATTAGAATTTTGAAAAACAGCAAGAACCAATCGATAGATATGGTCCTTACGCATCGAATGATATGCGTCTCGATGTTGTAGCTCAAAAATCATAGGAGGTGATAGATTTCTACAGTACCCCCTTTTTGTCAGTTTTCTAAGAATTTCACATTTTCTTTCACTTTTTTGGAAAAATTCCCATGAACAAGAAAATAATTGATTTATCTTTTACATATGTGTACCAAGTTTCAAAGTTATCTGTCAGTAATTAACTGAAATAGAATTTCCATAAGAAATTGGACATTGCCATTGGAAATTGGAAATTTTATTTCGGTTACTTACCGACTGATAACTTTGAAACTTGGTACACATATTTAAAAAATAAATCTAAGACTTTTTTTATTCATGTAAATTTTTCGAAAAAATGACAGAAAACGTGAAATTGTTGGAAAACCAATGTTTTTTTCTGTGTGACAAATTCGTCATGCCAGGGCGTAAAGGGTTAAAATAGATTGTTTCTTTTGAAGGCTGGCAACAAAAGTACTGTGGTAAAGACTGAAGTTAGTGGCATTGACTGTAGCTGGAGCTTGGTAACTAGCTAGACAATAAGATAGGTATTCTAGATTTTTTTGGTAAAGAATGTATTTCCAATACATGGAGCTGTAAGATTTTAAATTCAACTTGAGTCGTTTGATCTCCAAAATTTCTGTGAAAACTATGATTCATTTAGTAAACCAGAAATTTGTGCAGGCACAGAAGAAATTTATGTGCATGTTAGAAAGGTGATGGGTTAGAAAATTATCTTGTCAAGTCCAGTCACTTTCTTAGTAACACTTGGGTTAGGAAATTTTAGACTGATCATTGAGCTGGTTTTGAAGATTCTTGATGAAATTGTATTGTCATGAATACTTCTCTTGAAAATGTTTACACCATACAAGTTTTTGAGATATATAAGTTTCATATTATATCTGTTCATGGATCCTTTTCCCTTTGTAATTCCTCTGTACAATTCTTGACCTGTTAAAGAGCTTCATTCTTAGCTCTCTGATAATTTGTTTTACTAATTTTCTCCAGCAATCCACTTAATATCCATAATGGATTGAATGATAAAAAAAATGTTTTCCAGTATAACTGGTAGTGGTAATAACCTTTTGCATTAATCATTAATGTAAAATAATATTGCAATTATTCTGTTTCAGATAATTCTTGTTTGATTGTGTAAATTTAGTTGACTAACATACCAACATGTCGGCTGCTCCAAGCTCTCGTGACAACAGCCCTGGTCCCAATAGGCTCAACAAGTTCAAAAATGCTGGCAAAGATATTGAGGTTGGTACATATTTTTAAAACATTTGGTGAATATAATTCTGAATTAAAACCCATCTTTATACATACATTAGTGTCCAATAAAAATAAGCTGATGAGGAATGAGTGCAGTTCTGTGTTCAGCATAATGCCATTTGTTTGCTGGGATGGAATATTTTTTTGAGTTTTTGACTTTAGAAATGTACAATTTAATAAATAGTTGACTATTTTACAGAAGCTGGCTTGAGTGTAAAAAGCCTCTTAGTAAAATGTTAGAAGTGTAATAAATAAATTTTTTATATTTTTTCCTTGCCATGTCAACACAATAATCGACAAATTTTTGCTTTTCTCACCTTCATCTTAACTTTTTCTGAACTCTCACACATGTAAAAGTTTCAAGTACTTGGATAGTTTTAAACTATTTATTGCCAGTCCAAATAAAATTATGGTCATGGGTTTGGAAAGGAATGGCTTCCAGCTTACCTTAGGGCTCCCAGCTTACCTTATTGTCTTCCAGCTTACCTTAGTGGCTTCCAGCTTACCTTAGGGCTCCCAGCTTACCTTATTGTCTTCCAGCTTACCTTAGTGGCTTCCAGCTTACCTTAGTGGCTTCCAGCTTACCTTAGTGGCTTCCAGCTTACCTTAGTGGCTTCCAGCTATCATGATTTAAGTGAATGCAAGAGATAAAATACAAATCAGTGTCAAGACCCTTGGTCCACTCAAAAAGGCCACAAATTTCTTGGCTGGAGTGTTGATTTCAATAATTTGGTTAGGAAGTCAAGTATTTATTTTGGTATATGTATTGTTGCAATTTAAAATGAAGTGATGAAATGTTTATATGTATAGTCTCAGACTCTAGAATTTTTTTAGTTTTTCCCCATATCTTTTGAAGAATTGCACTTGGCCCTTTGAATTTGTGCCAAACCTCATGAGTACTACTAGTGTATATATTCAAAATTTGCCAGGCTTATAACTCCACTAGTTTTTAGGAGGGATGCTAAATTATTAAAAATTGAAAAAAACCGATGTGCTTAAAAAACTGTGTTGGAAAAAACCCACTTGTAAAAATTTGTCTGGATGAATTTTGCCTATAAACATGATTTATACCTTGAGGGTTTGATCTTCTTTCTTCATTACCATCCTTCTTTTGTTAAGTATGCCAAGATCTGAGTTTACTTTAAAAGCTCAAATATCAACTGGTTATATGGCAAAACAGATGAGTCCACAGTCTTGGCTCCCCTCATTTCACACAGTTGACTGCATGTTTATGATAATGACTAAAATTTTTATAACTGATTATTTGGGCTTTAGAGTAGATCTTTTGCCAAAAATAATATAAAACATCAAGTTATAGTCTCTGAAACATTCAGTGTGTTAATATCATTATAATAATTTTTTTAACACTAATGTGGGTTCTTTTTATATTTTGCTTTGAGAAAAAATACATTTTGCAAATTAAATTAACAATAAAGTGGAAATTGATGTTGAAGTTATAGTTTAGGCAGGGCTGACATAAAATAGTTACAAAAAATCTCTGAAGTATATTTCCCTAACAATGATGTGTCAAAAATGACCAAAAAAAGTGACCAAGAATTTATAAAAAAGTGCCCAGAAGGCAAAATTCACTTTATTGTGAGGGTCATCTGGTCACTTTTTTTATTTCATTGCATCATAATAGATCTAGAATGACTATAGAACAAATTGTGGGCATAGTAATATATAGATAATATTTTGATGGGTTGGTTTTCCATAGCAATAGTTGAATACCCACTATTGCTATGGATTGTTTTTAGAGTCTGGGACTATAGGTATTTATCTTGACTTGCCTGATAGAAACTGGGTAAAATAAAATTTACTTTATGAAACGAAATAAAAAAGAATTTCTGCAATCAATTCAATCTGCTGTCAAAAGATGTTCATGCATGCCACTGAAAAATCTGTCACATTTTTATAATTTTAATCAAATAAATATGATGCACTTCTCACCTTGTTACTTTTATCTAGGAAATGAGGCGCCGTCGACAGGAGACCAGTGTTGAGTTGCGTAAGGCCAAGAAAGATGACCAGCTCCTCAAACGGCGCAATGTACAAATTGATGAACCCACCTCTCCCATCAGCGAGGAAGTCACTCAGGTATGTTTTCAGCCTGCCATTTTAATATAGTCACCACAAATGGTCTATGTTAAAATATAGAATTTCTCAAGCATTTTTAGTTTGTTTCTCAATTGAATATTGATTTTAAACCTTCTTGATTTGTGCTTGACTTGGTTGTGTAGTCAAGTGATAGATTGTGTCATATCTAAGCCTTCTCTGTAATGTTTACTCATTTCATTTTGTAATTGTCTGGCTGGAATTTTCCCATTGTTAGTAAACACCTAATCTCGTGAAAAATTGTTCAGATTCTAATAAATGATTCACCTTCTGGTAATGCCAGACTTGTATAGAACTGCATGTAATATAATTTAATGTATGACAAAGTATATACCTCGAAGTTGAATTGTTAAAATTGAAACAGCACAACATCAAGGAATGATTTTTGTGTTTGGCAACAGATTTCCTTAGAAAACTTTATAATAATCGTTATATTATGTACAAATTTTTCTGCCATGTTTTAACAAGTGTTATTTATGCATAAGATTTATTTATTTATTATTGTTTCTCTTTATCTTTGATCCATAATGTTCAGAGTCTGCAAATAACATTTTCTTCCCAGAACTTCTTCTAAATTGTTAATATATTATTGACAATGATAATTTACTAGCTTCATGTTATACTAATGTATATTCTTAAAGTACCGTAAGTGAGTAAAAATTTAATGCCCAATTCATTGCTGATATGGTTTTAAGCAGCTTTGATTCATTTTTCTAGTGCCAGTCAAGCAACTAATGGTGACTGATGTTTGCATTAAAATTGATTTAATGTAGGCCTACAAAATTGCACCAGTTGTTTTGTGTGTTGGGAGTAATGAGCCAAGAATAAACTGACGTTCACAGCTAAGAGAATGAAATGCTTCTATTCATCAATGAATTGCAGTGCTCAAAATTCTGAATTTGGTTCTAATTTCGATTCTTAAAATGGCAGTGTAATTTATGGCCTGGATCAGTATAGTTACAATTGGATAACTGACTGTTCTTACAAACAGCCAAACGAGGTCATAAATTTGCATTTTGTTTGTTCCATTGAGTGGCGTATATATGGCTATGGCAAACTTCTTGAATTTCCTGCATGCATTCAGTACGGCAGGAATTCTGACTCAGTTGAATGATCGACATTTCCATCTTGGTATTCTCTGTCTGATTTTCTCTTGTTATCTCTCTTCCTGTGCTGTATGTTGCTTGTGCTGTTGTGGCGCGGCGCTTTTGTCTTGCCTCGCTTGCTGACAGCAGTTCGGCACCCCTGCCTCCACATCCCAGATGCCGTCCCCTATGAGCCTCGAGGAGATCCTCAACACAATCACCAGCCAGGACCCTGACAAGCTACTCGCCGCCACCCAGGCCACGCGCAAAATGCTGTCCAGGGAGCGAAGTCCTCCTATTGATGCCATCATTCAGGCCGGCATTGTCAATCCCCTTGTTTCCTTCCTCAGATATGACGATAAGTGAGTCATGTGTATGCGTGGCGTTAAGTTGGTAATCACAGAGAGCTGTTCTTATAATTTTATTCCTCTTATCACGTGTGTCTTAATTGAAATATTAATATTATTATGTAAATTAAGTCGCTCACAACTCCCATTGTCATTCAGTTTGTGGATTGTAAGTTTGTTTCTTGAATTAACATAGTTCTGTTTAATAATAGCACGTCTATGCTGTGTTGAAAGATTGGTTCAATAGTTTCCTGTTCCTTGCAGCCCGTCACTACAGTTCGAGGCAGCCTGGGCTCTCACAAATATTGCTTCAGGAACCTCCGAGCAGACAAAGGCCGTCGTTAGTAAGTCTTATGCTCAATGATAATTTTTTTCAAAGAGTTGATGGATCTGGACGCATTGTAAATCCACATTATTTGAATGTTAACAATGTTGTGTGATAAGAAAATTATTTAAAGGTTTTGTTCACTATCGCTTGATTTAAGTCATTTGTTTTGGATAACATTGTGAATTATGACAACGTTATTCAACTCTTATCTCGTCATTTGTACTCGTGTCACCATTTTGTCATGTTTTTTTTATGAATATATTGAACATTTTGAGTTCTGCATTTATATTCTAAAATTGCCACTCAATTACAAAACGGGAGTTCACTGATCTAGGTCCCATTCGTTTTTGCATGATAATTATTTCTCGTAAGCTTGATTTATGATAGAAAGAATAAGCTATTGTTCGTTCAATCTCTATAAATTATGGGCTAAAATAAGTCACTATGATCTTTATTATTTTTTTTTGCATTCTGACATGGAGAGACATTCTTCACAACGCTTAAATATATTTTGATAAGGCTGATGTAGCTATCTACCACGTGGTGAAATTTCTCTCCCATTGATTTCTTGAGCGTAATGGAAACTAATTTGTTAGCACGTATTGTTGAATTATATAGCACAGTTTAATTAGGTTTAGTCATCTTTGTATTTATGTGGTTGAGAGTTGCATATAAATTTAAAGCCAAGCCATAGAAAATTGTCTTTGATGTTTTTGGTTAAAGTCGCATCTTGAAAAATGGAAATACATTCGAAATAAATCGAGTATAAGTAAAACACAATATAAGACAATAACACATTCTTCATTTCACAGAATGTGGAGCGGTTCCTCCTTTCATTGCTCTGCTGTCGTCCCCTCATCACAACGTGGCCGAGCAGGCAGTATGGGCATTGGGCAACATCGCTGGTGATGGCCCCGACCTCAGAGACTTTGTTATCAAGGCTGGCATCATTAAGCCTCTCCTAGCTTTAGTTCAACCCTCAGCCGAGGTAAGACATCATAAACAATGTTCAGCCTCTTGAGTGTTCTTCATTAATCGAAAACAAAAAGGTACAAACCAATTTTAAGCTTTCAAATTTCAGTCTTTTGCTTATGCCGTACCAAAGTCATCTCATGGATGGACTTTGAATTATCTATGTTCAATTAATTCGTTATACCACATTATTTTGGTATGGTTAGATTTATTACAATGTTTGATCTCCCATCGTTTCTACCTTAGCACAAATACAAACGAGTATTTGGATAATTGTAAAACGTGTGATTCAACTCGAATGATTAAATAATTATGCAAGTAATGATATGGCCGATCAATGTGCAATGATATTCATTATCTGAACTGCAGCTTCTTACGTGCATAAGGTTATTAACCAGCTCGTAATTAAAGGAAATTAAAACTTAGTCTCACCTATCATAAAGATCTTCGTATATTGTGCTTTCCTATCTCTAATCCTCCTAATGTTAGATTTTTGTGACTGTTAGTGGCAAGATCTTAGTTAGTAATTCATGATAAATATGATTAAAAATTCATACACAAAATATTTTTTACCTGCATCCATTTAAAAACTGTAGTTATTGTTGAGTATCGTGACTTGAATTGTTGCAGTTTGCTTTCCTGCGAAACATCACTTGGACTATCAGCAACTTGTGCCGGAACAAGAACCCTTCTCCTCCGTTCGAAATGGTGAAGCAATGTCTACCCACTCTCGCTTACCTTATCTCCCACCCTGATCCCGAAGTGCAAGGTATGAACATCAGAGCTGTTATATTTAAACTTGCTTCATACGTTTTTTTACTGCAGAGATGATTTTAATAAATAAATTTTTGCAGTTGAGATACTTGACGTTTTTGAGATACTTTGTTCCTGAGATACTTGACGTTATTGAAGTTATTTTATGTGCGCATTATTACATATTCTCATGGATTCATAAATACATCACCAGCCAAGTTCCTGTTTTCTGAGATGTTTGGGCATTTATTCGTGTATAAAAGACCCTAAAATTGTTTGGCAATTCTGCTAATAAACTAGGTCATTGTTGCAGCTGACGCGAGCTGGGCCATTTCGTACTTGACGGACGGCACGAATGACAAGATAGCGGAGGTGGTGGCTGCTGGTGTGGTGCCGCAACTCGTACAGCTGCTCGCCTCGGGCGTCATCTCCGTGGTCACGCCCGCCCTGCGCGCCATTGGTAACATCGTCACCGGCAACGACGTGCAGGTTTGTTCGGTAGTCACTCGTTATTTTATTGCACTGATATTTTTTAAGGTATTACAATGGGGCTCGATGTTCTGACAAGGATGTAATTTTCTATTACGCAGGTTTCCATTTCTCATCACTCTTAATATTGAAATATATACATATATGAATGCCTAAATTTACAAGTGCAGATTTCGTCAATGAAATCTGTGCCGCTAACTGTACACTTTTGATGTTGCAATTGCTTTTACTATCTCGATATTAATTTTCCTCATGGAAACAGACGGATGTTGTTGTGAAAGCCGGAGCTCTGGAAGTGTTCCCTCAGCTGCTGAGCCATTCCAAGCAGAACATAGTGAAGGAGGCTGCCTGGACCATCAGCAACATCGCTGCTGGCAATCAAGATCAAATTCAAGCCATCATCGACAGCAACTGCTTGCCGGCGCTCATGCGTGTCTTGGAGCAGGTGAGCTCCTAACGCCTTATAACAAGTCAGGATATCTGGTAACAATTCTGCAGGAGAACTTGTGTTGAAATCTGCGTTGGTGCTTCAGTCAATCTAGATCAGCGTGATTGTAATGAATGAATAAATAAATTAGTTGGAGCAAATCTCAAGCTTTTAATGATGAAGTAGACAAATGACCATTTAATCATGTAAGTACTCCTTCAAAAAATTTGCGTATGCATTCAGGGCGACGCGCGGTCGCAGAAGGAAGCCTCGTGGGCTGTGACGAACTTCACCAGCGGCGGATCTAATGAACAGATCGTTACGCTCGTGCGTTATGGGGTGTTGCCGCACTTCTGCAAATTGCTCAACTCACAAGACGTGAAGCAGCTCTTCGTCGTCATGGACGGCATCGCTAACATCCTTAAGGTAAGTTAGCTCGGTGGTCAACTCACGCATTCGTCATGCTAGTGGTGTGAATTATCTTCGATTTACTCTTATTTAATACATGTGCATGCTCAACTTATCGATGGGGTAGTTAATTAATTTCATTTAAAATGAAAAATGTACTACGGGACTATCGATGTTATGAACAAGTTCATGGATGAGTTGTTGCGACCAAGGTTCATATTCAGAATATGTTCACTGTTAGTGTCTGAGTACTATGATATACATTTTTAAATAAAATTACGGCCGCACAATAGGTGGTAGTGTCGCGGAATTTATACATCGAACAATATTTTATTTGGCTAATAGGAGCTCATATGTGCAGCTCCCTATATGAAGGAGGAAGAAGAATCGTGTTAACTGCAACGCTTGTTCAACTCGGCTTGTTAATTATTGATTATAAATATGAAAGAAAACTTTTCTGTATAAAAGTTCTCCTTTAATTTATTCAGCGGTATTAAATTTCGATGATTTTTTTGCTTATTACAGTAAATTACGTATGATGCTCCCTTTTCAGTGTGCGGAAAAGTTGGGCGAGGTGGAGCGCGTCGCTCAGATGGTTGAGGAGTACGGCGGCGTGGACAAGCTCGAGGAGCTGCAGAACCACGAGAACATCGACGTGTACAAGAAAGCCCTGGATATTGTGGAGCGTTTCTTCAGTGTCGAGGACGATGAGGAACTGGCGCAGGCTGACAGCACCACTCCTGCCGCTGGTGATGTCGCCCCAAACGGAGACTCCTTTCACTTTACTGAGAACAACTCGATGCCTGAAGGCGGTTTCTCATTTTAGGGTAGAATTTATTAAAGCTATCTCTTGGTTATCGTTAATTTCGTCGCTTATAAGTGGCATTCCATAGACAATTTCGAGTAAGGCATTTCTTGTTGTGAGAGCAGCGTGGAATCGTGCGGCCTCCTGCGGTCTCTTTTCAATGTGTAGATAGCATTGTTCTCGTATAGAAGTAGCCATAGGAGTTGGTTCACACAGTATTTGAAGAACTGTTTTATTAACTGGCATTGATGTTTCTAGTGGAGTTTATCAACTTCTTTTATTGCCGGTATCACCGAGAGAAGGCAACAGGATTTAAGGATTAGCTGTAAGGATTTGCCAATGTGCATAGGATCTGAGTACGTCTATCTCTTGTATCCAATACAAATAAATCTTCATCGTTTAACGTCTTGTTGCAACTTTTCGAACATCATCATTTCGTTCAAATCCCAAGTGCCTTTTTTTTCTTTTCGCCACGGAACTAAATTTCAAATATTTTTTAGATTTAGCAAGCTACTGTCTCTATTTTTGTATTACTGAAAAATAAAATCTTTTCCTCTTCGTGCAAATGGGTTTTTATTCACTGCATTCGTCGTTAGTCGTCTTCTCTACTTCCACTTTTGCTCATAACATATTCTGAAGCACAACCTACTTTGTGCGTTATTTGAGAGCGATCAATATGTACAACTGAGCTAGATTTATACACGTGCTAGCCAGCATTTGCAAACTGGATTTCATTTTTAAATTCTCGTGATTATTGATGCTTATAGCTGATTCTGATCTACTTGTAAGCAAGTTCCCTCAATTTTCCGATATCGTACAATAATCTGTGAAAAGAAATGACCTGGTATTAGTCATGCCGGATGGAAAAAAAATTCGTATCTACTTCAGTAAAATAATATAACGCACTAGTCAGCTTTTCTTAGGCGGCGTTGGCCGTTTCTCGGCCACTTCTCGTCCATTAGCCAAATTTGACCCGAATTTTTTGCAACTAATTTGCGGGTATTGAACCCCCAATTCGTGGTTCCTAACTAGCTGACCACTCCGTCACTCCGAACAAAAATCTGTTTCTAATTCGCGTGTTGCAATTTTTTTTCGCAGGCGTGCCATTCCGACGTTTGTGCGGTAACCTTGCGACGGTTTCCATTTTATATTATTAAATTATTTTTGAAGTTAAAACAAAGCAAAACGAATGAATCATTAACATAGTAGTTCGTAACAAGGATAAGAATACCCGCACCACGTGAGAAGCACTATTATTCAAGACTATGTCATAATTTAAATTATAATTCAGCTAGCATAGGCACACATTATTAATGCGTATCAGATAACTCTGGTTAAACGAACGATACATGTTATCTGAATTATTCATATTTTTTTAACTATTGAATAACACTATTTATACTTTTTTAGCTCTACACTATCGCGGCAGACATGCTGGGAGCCCGTTGGCTCTTTTCCTATCGAATGTGTCTGGACTCTTAAAACTATCAATGCCATGCAGTTTTCTTCATATCTTATTCTTCTGATATTTAATTTCTTGCACATATAGAACGATAATATACTGGTGAGGTGCATTTCGAGGCCAAGCCGTCCGCGCAGGTGTGCGTTGTTTTAATTAACCTTGAATTCTACCTAGACAACCGCATAGAAAACTTGGCACCGTCTTGGTGCCCATAATTTGTATGCCCAGGCATCCTGCCACGGGTTGTAATGTTTCCATTTTGTTGAAAAATCCTGAAAATATTCTACGTATGTACTATAATGTACAATAAGCGATAAGGCAAGTATATTATCACTCATGATAAGGTATCTTAAATTTATGATTACTGTGCCCATACCAAGTTATTCTACTACGGTTGTTGAGTGCTGTATACCTTTCTATTCGCTTCTTAAACGGTGATTACAAATGAAACGTGCAAAGTGTCATTCATTTTCCATTTTGCAATAAAATGTCCAGTTAGAAAAAATATGAGGTTTACATTTTAGAGACAAATTAGTTCGAGAAAAATAATGCAAGTAATTATCTCGGTTTGGTCTTCTTTTTCGGATCTCCAAGGAATTGAATTGGCGAACAAGGTTAACGTTAATTCTCGTCCATTTTAACAGACTATTTCTAATAAATGTATCCAGATAATTCACGTCGCATAGTTAATTTATTATCTGAAACACTGATTCTCTGGATGTTATGAACGTAGGCTTATAGTTTGACGTCCGATGAATGCTTTCAGTGAATAAAAGATCGTAGCTGCTACTTTAGTGCCTGGCTATCGAAACAAAAACCTATTTCATAGAGCATCAGAGTATACCAGCAAAAACACCCCTAGCTGCTGTGAAAACATAACATATGACGATAAAAGCAAACTGCGTATAAATAAAACGGTACCTCAAACTAAAAGTTGAATATATTACAATTATTATACGAGTATTATCCTTAGTCTAACAATACATTTATTCCATTACTCTGCACGATTAGTGTATTGATACAGAGAGCCTTGTGATAGTGTATGATCTTTTCCTATCACTTTTAATTGAATTTATAACCTTGATAGATTGCACTGTACGCAATATCTTGAAAAATAATCTTTTGTTAACAGAGTGAAATCTTTCTATAGAATAAAGTACACAAATATGGATGAGAATTATTCCAATTCTGGCTTTATTTAAGTTATCCTTTAGCTTGAGCCAGTTATCTTCAATACAAATTAAAGTTCCAAGATAAGACCTTTCACACTTTTTGTTTGAGCTCATGCAGATTTTGACGCGCACTAGAGGGTGCTGTGAAGATATTTGCATGATTTATTTTCTAAGCTGAAGCTCTCCCGCTGCAGGTAATATAGTCAGTCAACACAAGATTCTATTAACCAAAGAATGAGAATATAGGATGATTTTGATACAAGCAAACATGTCTGAAAGAGCAACTACGGCTGGTCGAGCCGGAACATGGAGGAAGTTTGCTTACCTTGAAGATGAGGAAGTAAATTTTTAATTCAACTTATACGATATCGAAGAATTTGCTCTTCAGATCTAATACGCCAACAACATATAGGCACTTCAACCAATAAATAGTATTTGTACAGACGACATAAATCTACTTACGTCAACCTAAACGAATGAACGTAATGCGTAAAATGGCAACATGACATCAGATGAAAATATATACAAAATGAACTTTATGTCCTAAAAGTTTTTCTTTAAGTCATATTTTCTTTTTTTCTGAGGAAAAATGAAGCAATTCCAAATGCTGTTTATATCGCAATGCATATAGGGCCCTGCATAATGAGTGTTCTTCTGAATCCCGCACAGACTTCTCTTCTTCCTCGTAACAAAGACGATGCTCCCCTTCAACAATTTAGCAAAACTTTCACCTGAAGATGTGATGCAGTCGATTAAGTGCCGTCGCAAAAGACATCCTTAAAATTGTTTTTACGGATTACAGGACATAAAGGCCGCTGGTGTCAACACACTGCGCCCAGCGCGTCGGCAAGGATTTGATTGATTTCAAGAATTCGCATTCCATGAGGTGCTTCAGGTGATGACTCAGGGCCGTGATGATAACCTGTTTATCGTGGTAGGTGGCGCCTCTCATGCTGTTCCGTAGGAACGGAATGAGCCAATATTCATGAGGTTCGAAGTCAGGTGACGCTGGAGGGTGAGGCAAAGCCTCTAGCTCAAGTTCGGTGAGAACTTGGCGAGCGGCCTTCGAACTGTGAGGAGCGGTGTTGTCATGAAGCAAGATGCAGTCGCTCAACTTCTTTCCTCGGCGTTTTCGGGCGTAAGCCTCTGTGAGGTGTTCTTTCAGAATATTTGCATAATTGTCTGCAGCGTTGTCAGCTCCGCTCGGTACGTGCTCTGCCAGAAGCAAACCATAAATATCATAGTAGAGCATGAACGAGACACCGACTTGCTCAATGCTGGGCCTATATTTTTCACCTACACCAAGGACTCCTCTTGTCATTGTGACCGAGTGGCGACGCAATGTGTTGGGAGTGTAGTAGTACACGACTGTTTCGTCTCCAACGATGATCCTCTCAAGGAACTCATCGCCTTCAGCCTCATGCCGACGAAGAAGTTCTTCGGCAACTTGAACACGATAGGATCTTTGTTCAGGAGTCCATAATCGAGGCACCCAACGCTCGAACACTTTTTTCATTCCAAGCACATCGCAAATAACGTGTTGCGCTGTTTGTTTTGTAACCATCGCCAGATCAGACGCCCGTTCAATTGATAGCCTCCTGTCGTTGTTCACTAGATGCTCCAAACGATAAACTAAAGCCGGGTCTGTGGGTAGGGTTTGTTTGGGGGACACAGCTCCGTTAGTGGCAGTACTGTACGCATTCTTATTCTGTTCTTCTTGGTCTTCCTGTCCCTTAACATCGTCGGTGACCCATGCCTTGACGAGCTTGTACGGAGCTGCGGCTTCACCACACACCGCCTCCAGGAGCTTGTGGATTTCAGTGGAGCGCGTCTTCATGTGGTGGAGGTAGCGCACGATCACGCGCTGTTCCTTGGCCGTGAAGCCTGGGAGTGCTTCCTTATTTTCGATGATAAGAGGAGGTTCATCGTCGATGTCATTCATTCTGATGGTCCTGGAAGTAAAATAAAAATATGTCTCAATAGCAGGCTTAGAAAAACATTTAGAAATGTGTTGGTTCAATTATTTTTGGTTTGAGAAATTAATTTTTGTTATTTTAAATGTTATTTCAGTGACTGACTGTAATGCATAACAAAATGAGAATAATTTTTCGGAAGCGTATGATTGAAACGATCACTAAACTCATCAGGATAAAAGATAGGCTTGCAATTACATGAAGCTGTATAACGACCAGGGCTTACGGGCTCATACTTAGATTGAGACCGTTAAAAATTTGTATAGTTATTTGCGCACACAATAATAATCAATTCATGCCTATTGATATAGCTATAGTATATACATCTGGATATGTACGATTCTGTTCTTGTTCTGAAGCGTATAGTTAAATATGAATAACATTTTGCAGAAAACTACTCTTTATAGTCTGGATTAATTAGCGAAATGAGTCCAGGTATTAACTATCATTTCATCTTAACACATGTTTTAGCAAGATATTGATAAAAAGAGAGAATGAACTGCAAAAATGAAAAAAAGGTATGTACTGCCATCTCGAACATTTTTTTTAAAAGTCTCGCATCAATTAACTGGGTTCGAAGTCTCATTTAATGAGATAAAATATTGCGTTCATAACGATTTACATAGTTTTTTAATATTATTTGAGAGTAATTTCTATCATTGACTCAATTGGTTTAACCATTAAACTGTTCAGGATTACAGTGGGAAATGTTTTGTTATAAACTTATTTACATTTGTTAGGCTAAGATGGATTATCACTTGATTATTTTAATATATTCTGAGCCCTTTGATGAGAGATAATTTTTTGCGTTCAAGTTTAGAACGTGCAAAATTCTGATGGTTTTTTGACTTGCGTTTGGGATTTGTTTAAGCACCTAAACCGGGCGTACTAAAGAACATCAGGCGTCGAAAATGTTGTTGAAAAATGTTCGGCACCACATTTTATAATATTCCCTGAGAAAATTATAAAAATCGATGATTATCGTCCTTCACAATTTCCTGAATGCTTTTCCCAGTCACTAGTACGACGGCAACGAAGATTGAAAGATTTCTTTTGCGATGCTGTCACCTGCGCACAAACTAGAAAGTCTGACTCGATTCATTAAAAAGTATTTCTTATCCAAGGATAAAAAATAGAATCTGCAACTGAGAGCTATGAGTTAATTTATTGTAGTCATTAAGGAAATCGGGATATAAGAATTCAGATAGCTGTCGGCAGATATCGAGATGGATGCGAAGTAGTTGCCACAACGTTTATTTTTCAGCGCAGTTTTGGCCGCTTCAGATGCGAGTCGCTTAACATGGCCACTTGTTTCGAGAAGACTCGTAATTGGACCTTACAAGTCCTGCTCTCATAATTAAGTGCCTAGTCATGGAGTTGAAATTTAATTTCTTGTATGAGTGTGTGCAAAATTTTATACCAAATCCCCTTCGTTTATGGCTTAATAAACGCAACTGAAAAGAGAAACTTTATATCATAATACTTTAAAAATATTGTTGTAAAGGAAAGTTTTGGAACTGTATTCAAAAAGGCTAAAAATATTTACCTTGTAATTCAAATCCGTCATGAAGACGATAGCAATAATTATGGAGTTGATTTAATTTATATATTTGTATCATTGAAACCATGTATAATTGTATGAATTGGAATCAATCAGTTATTAATTGAAAGTTTCGCGAACTCGGGCAAATGTTGCCTCGATCGGGAAGAAACGACGTTGAGTAGCGATTTATTATCCTCAATAAAGAAGATGCACGAAAGATAAGGTGAGTGAATAAAGACACTCCTTTTAATATTTGTGGTAGATGAGTGGACTACAACGTCTCCAACATAAAAGAAAATTTATAGCCAAGCGGTTACATTATTCGACTCCTCTATTTTATGTAGTGCAAATTGGACAATACCAAAAGAAAAAAAAAATCTAAGAAATTCTGCTGATTGCAGTCAGCAGAATTCCTTAGAATTTTGAACCAGCTTAGGGTTAGCAGAATTCGTATAGCACGAAAAGCTACTAAATTTAGAACAACTTTTGCTAATTTTGTCGTCCTTCTTGCAGATCGTTTCATTGTTATTAAAACCTTGGAATATTTGTACACAAGCGAACAGAGAATTTACAAGCTTGTTGCCGGCAAGATGAGAAAAATTCTACCACAGTGAGCCAGGGCCCCATTGACCTACTATTTCATATTTGTTATTTCACATTGAATCGAGAATATCCCACAGAGCACCACGTTTTTCTCATTGAATTCAATGTCATCTTAGTTAGATGTAAACTCAAGCCCCAAAGTTTGCAGACCTCGCGCTGTTGTTAACAGTTTGAAAGTCAAGAGTTATTATAAGCGAAAGTGAAGTGTAAGCTCTGGTTCAGTATTCTATAAATTATATCAGAGGTCAAGGTTTATCACTACAAGCAGATATTCTGTTATAAGTATAAGATTGTTTATATTGATGACCTATTTACGTCTCCAAAATTAATTTTGGCTGAATCGTTAACTGTAAAGGTTGTATATAATATTTTTTAAAGCAAAATTAATGATTACCATCAATGAGACATTGAGCTCTAAACCAATTACATAATTCGGTGGGTCCCCGGCAGTATTTCCTATTAATGGCTAATCATAATTAACTGTTGAAATTTAAAATAACGATAACGACAATAGGTAATTATAATCGAGATAACGATGTATAAAAAAGGTAATCGGCAAGATTCGTTGACCAGATTTAAATTGAAAGTGTTAAATTCGCGTCCTTAATATTCTTTTAGATTTTTTTGCAGCCTGTTCATGGCTATATTTAAATTTCAGGGAAATAACGCTAATGATGTAAAGTAATTTTCTTCGTATCCCCAGAACTCTGGCGTTAAACAACAAACATTGTTTACATTGTGTGTAGCCCAATTCTCGGATCTCACTATTTAAATTATCTCAAGGCAAGATAGCTAATGAAAGACTTATTTCTTATAAAGTCTCGAAAGACTTATTTTTTGTTCAATTTTAAATTCGAGATGAATTTGAATAAAAATTCAATAATTAATATTTCACTTGAAAATAAAATGAACACTTATTTCACTCTCTTCTATTAACATATTTAATGAATAGATTCATTTTCGAAGCATTGACATTTTCATCAGAGGGAAGCAAAACATCTTCAATGCAGTCACCAGGATAAAGAAAGAATATATGCTGCACAGTGGATATGTTCGTGCTCTAGAATTTATTTCCTTGACATTGCTAATGCTGTGAGGCATAAACAGCGAGCGCACAGCTCAGGACAGAAGCTCTGCTCGAGTTGCGTAGTATATTTACCTGAGCAACAGGTGATACTCGTCTACATTAGTGCGAGTAAACAGTGCACAAGAGCGTGACTAAGTTGCGGAACGGAGTGCGCTGCTTCGTAACTCAAGCTCAAAGAGTGAGTAGGTCAGTTGCGGGACAGCGACCGCCCTGATATTGCGGGCCCATGCTACTTGGCCAGACAGTAGATAGAGTAAGCACTAACATAAGATAGAGTAGAGAGCGAACATAACAGGTGCATTAACAGCATCTGGCGTGGGTCTTCTGTTGTGTCTTTGAATACTGTGAACACTTGTACACTTTGAACGCTGTTGGATCTTTGAAGACTACTTCGTTGGTCTTCGTACTACTTAAATTCCAATTGTTAGTGAGACAACTGTCTTTTCATACTTAAGATGTACCAAACCCATCTAATCGCGGTCTTACTTGCAATTTGTTTAGCATGCGAGGTGAACATTGCATGGAAAATGCAATCTAAGAGCCACCCGAAACATTTCGTGAGAGGAGAATGCCATGTAGTATTCATCTTATAGCCGGAACCTATTGCAATAGTTTTGGTTCGTGATTGTTCCTTAAATATTGATGATTTGCGGTAATAACAATGCAATGTTGAATGGTTTTCATAACATGCAATAACTTATATCATCTTTACTTCCAGGTGAAATACGCTTGCGTTTATTCGTCGTGTCTTCGTACAAATAAATTGAGATTGAATAAATATGATAAATGTGGCAGTTCCATTGCATTGCTTTAAATTGTAAGATGCCTCTTAGCCATTTTGTGTCGAGTACATAAATTGGCGTGTTTTTCACTCAAACGGAAAACTTTTTAGTATTTTTTTTTCAATTTTGTTGATATTTTCTTGATCACATCTAGAAAGGTTATTGTATCCACAAACAATGTGTTATCTAATATCTGCTGACAGTAATTCTATTTACTAGACCATCAGACATAAATAACATTGCCGAATTTTAGTGCCTTTGCAGACAAAGGGTATAATGATAAAGCTACCAGAGCCAGGATTTGCTCAGTGAACGCCACCGTGGTTTGCTCGCCTAAACGAACGACTGATCCGACGGTATCATAAGCGTCTCTCACTTGGAGCGAAGGAGCAGGTGTGAGTGTAATGAAAATTTTGAAAAAGGAATAAATTTCATGAAAAATAATGAACTTGAGAAGGGGCAGTAGAAATACTTGCGTAAGTGGACCAACAAGTAACGAAAGAACGATTGTGATTCATGAACAGTGGAAGGAAAATTCTACCATTTGGACGACCTGTTCTTAAATCTTAATTAATTTTCATAGCACAGAGCAGAAGCCCTCATGAGAAGTTTTTGGTTGCAATCATTAATCAAATGCTAATTGACGAACCTGTGTTTATTAGTTATTAAAAGATTTTATGAGAATAGCAGAGCATGCTATCTCTGCAGAGTGTTGGGAAATGATCACATGTAGGTGTTCTCTCGATTTAGTGCAGTTGGCAGACAAGGCTACGGGAGAAGTGGAATGTTGTAAATGATCGCTGCGGCAAAAACCCTTCGCTTCGCACAGTTCAATAAGATGGAATATAGTGTTTCGCCAGACGACCGTGAGATACCTCAAGTTTATTCTACCGTTGAAATAATTTGCACAGCGCTAGGTCTGCTGGCCTCGACATTGGCGCTGGTGGGGAAAAACATTATTGTCTCAAATGGCTCATTAAATTAAAGAAGCTCTGAGAGTTATTGTGCTAGACGCGACGGGCGTAAAGCGTGAGCAAAATCACACGAAATGAGACCGTGGCGACTGAGGGTCGACCAAGGTAGCGGTGAATGGCGAGAAATCTAGGTTTATCACATAAATCATTGCATTCAAGGCATTCACCTCACATAATAGAATTACATTATACATTCACATGGAAATCGCAGTTCATTTCTTGACGAATACTTCTAATCAATGATTTAATCCGAAAATATCCTAAAGACAGAGTACATTTATTCAATTATTTCCAGAGACTTTAACGGATCGAGTGTGTAATCAATTTGACGTAAATCAGAAGTCAGTGGATTAGATTGTGGATAATGACTCGGCCGATGAATTACTATTGGGCTATTTTTTCATCTAATGAGATAATGATGTATTCTAAAGTTTATTTTTTCAATGCGAATTTCAGATTAATAATTAATTTATTAATGAATGGATTAATTAATAATAATTCATATAATTCATAATTAATGAATTAATTTATGAATTTAATAACGCCATAAAATTTATAATCGAAATTTAATTAGAATATCTAATATTCGAACAGATATATATCGCAGCAACGACGTCTACCTAGCGGTATTGCCGTCCTGCCGAGCTGGTTAAGATGAAGTCAGATTCTGAAGGCTTGTCTGCCTAGAAGGCATCTGATTCAAATTGAATTATTATAAGGAATTATTGCCAAGATCTTTTAATATATCAATTTATATTTCGTTGTTGTTTTATAAAAGTGTATGCTTGGTACGATGCTTTCAAGTTGTTTGGTCTAATTTAAATTCAAATCCAGATGCCAATTCAAGTTAAAAAGTCAAATTTTCGTTTTAGAGTGTAAATTACTCATGAGGTGCAAAATAGCTCAGTGCAGCTAGTGAACTAAGTTCTAGAGAATTTTCTTGAAAATTATTCTTATCACAACTCAGATTTTTCTAATGGATCCAGGGCAGAGAATTGCAAGTGTATCACAGCGTGAGATACTCTGTTTTAAATACGCATATCAAAATTACCATGAAATTGAAATAGGCACTCTTGTTATATGTATACAGATGTCAGAGTGAAAATGTTTTATTACAAAGTGAAAATCACTAAATACCTCTTCAACTTTTGTTCAAAATTATAATTTTTAAGACATTGGCGCTATTTATTAAATGAGATTTTCTCATGAAAGTTAGAAATACATTTTACTCGCAGAATAGAAAATTTCACAGTCCTCATCCAAAAGTAAAGAACTCTCGTTTGAGAGGAAATTTTTTAACATAATGGGGTTAAATCGATTGAACGCATACGTGATATTTCACCATGCAGGTGTTGCTGGTCTCAAATGAATTTTGAAAGCAATCACAAGGCACGCACACTGGAGTTTGTTGATGAATTTTTAAGTAGAATGAATAATAACGGAATAAAATTACAGGTTTCACAGATCTAAATCATACCGCATTACGACCGTAAATTAAATTAAATTTTAATTTCTTTTAATTTTACCTCAATTCATTATTCTGCTTTAATTATTTTCGAGAAAATCTTCTGGTGAATTTTCTGTTGCTATTAAGCACAAAGTAAGCAGCACACGCTCAGTATAAGCTACATCCCAGCTATCGTATGCTAGCTCTGCCGGCGACTTAAGATCGGCAGGACGATAAAGCCACTCCACGATTTGGCCCGCATCAAGTATGAACGTTTGTTGAATCGCGGCACAAAGGAATTTAATAGAAATAGGAATTTCAAAACATTAAATCAACAGATGAAATGAAATTAGAATTAGTTCAACATTTTCATGGAATTACGTTAAAAATTTCTAAGGTTCGCGAATTGGGTTTTCTAAATTGCATTTTTATGGCATGGTTATACTACGAAAGGTTAAGAGACTACTCAGCCTTCTTATTCTAACACTAATGCATCGCGGCGAAGAGCTTTGACAGCCCAACGCGGCTGAAAAACAATTAAAACGCAAATTTTTGCCTCTAATGACAATAGTATCCCATGAAACCCTTGGCTGCCAAATTAATCTCTAAATCATGCAAAATGCGTTTAATGAATGCGGATATTGTCCTTTTTCTTTATTAATAATATCTATTGCCAATGCTGCGTGTTCTCTAGCTTTAAGCAAAACAAAATGAAGCTTTAACCAAAACCAAAGTACTCGTACCTCTGTAACGACCACGCTGAGATGTCAAAGGAAGTTCGAGCAAGAGCACCAGGGAAGCTGTCCTCCTTGGGCAGCGCTTGTCACGCAAGTCACGAGCTCTCCGCTAGCACAATGCAGTCTTGGTCGAGCGCTAAACTGCCACCGGCACCCCTCCAACACATTTATATAGGCAGCGTCCCGCCCCTCTTCGAAATATACTTACCCTTGCATCGCTTCTCATCCGCACATCATCTTGAAGTTCATAGACACATCGCTAAGGTTTCAGGGCAAGGACAACATTTCTGATGACTTCACTTTGATTTACGTCTCGTCAATCACAGTGAATCAGGCCAAATAAACTCTAGGCGTGTGTATGACATCTGGGGACGCAGTCCTGCCAGTCACTGCATGTCCGCCCAGGTTTACGTGACGTCAATAGCTTGTCAAATCAATGTGACCTTATTTTTATAAAATGTTCGTTCATTTTATTGGAGCTTGGAATTACAAAACTTGAGCATAAAATTCTATTCTAACTTCGATAACCATGTATATAATTTTTCATTACATTACCTGGTGAAAAAGCTTGTGATAGGAATCGAACTGGAATGCAGTAAATGTGATTACCACCTTGACTTTGATTGAAAATTTGGGATAATTTAAAGTACCTCGTGCACATACTTAATTAGTGCTTATCGTTCAAAAATGCTCTAATGCTCTTTCATTGCCTGCCTATTAGATCTATATTAATTAATGTAAGTAGTAAGAAACCATAACAATAACTAGATTTTGGATGAAATGGAAGCGCTGCGAAAAATCATATCTTCAATGTACATTGAATCTTATTTTTGAAATAAACCATTGTACTCCCGATTGGACCAACAACTTAGGTTTAGTATCTTCCTGAGTATTCGGGATAAGTGCATATGTGTCGTGCCAAAATTGCAAAATTGCCGATTCTATGGAATCGGCAGCCAGTTTGCCGAATCTGTAGAATCAGCATTTTGTTGCTGATTCAGAAAATCGGACGTTAGAGTGACAGCTAGAACATAAATCGACAGTTAGAGTTAGAAAAGGTTAGGTCAAGTTCGGTCAAGTTCTTTTATATTTAAATATAAAAAAGGAATTGACTGATTGACCTAAGCCCAAATTCCTATGCTACAATGCTGATCAGCTATGCTACAATGCTATGCTATGGAAATGCTTATTCTACAGATTCGGCAAACTGGCTGCCGATTCCATAGAATCAGCAATTTCGCGATTTTGGCACGACATATGCACCCTTTGACTCAACTATTACACCTATTTAAGTAATTTCATGATACATTATAATTCCATTTATCAACTTTCTTATGAAGCAATAAAGTTTTATGTCTCAGTAAAGAAGTTAATCCTTGAAAAAGACGGTCTGAGACCTTTTCAATTAAAAAAAGAAGAAAAAATCGTCTTATTTGGTAAGATTGTATTAATTTGCGATTTATGAGCCGTTACGTCTAACCACCGAGATTCATCTCAAGTGTTTACTGAATTAAGTTCTGCAACGCTATAAAGTGCTACACATTTTTTCAGATGCTATTCCTCCTTGAATACTAAAATAATCAGCCGGTAAATGATCAATCACACGACAGGCCACCAGGCGATACACAAATATCCCAATTTTACCTGCTGGGCCGTCATCTCGGCACGCAGTTCCACCGGAGCAGTAAATTAATCGTTCTTGTCACATGCAGGACGAGGGCAATAAATAATCGCTGGCTAGCATAAATACGCTCGCATTTCGTCAAGTTATGCTGGCTGCTGCTGGCGTAGATGTGTTGTCGTGAAGCTGAGAGCTTCGGGGCCAGGAATGCGCAACAGAGTTAGGCTGGGAGACGCTAGGTGGGGTCCCACAGGGTCCGACAGTGGCGCCATGGGACTGCTCTATTTTGATCCTCGTGTGGACAATCTTTTATTAGCAACGTCCAACCGGAATCAACAATTTGTTGTTCTAACTTTTTGTATTTGATAGTGAAGTAATTGAAGCATTTTTTTCGAACACATTATTAAGATATATAGTTGTTCAGTTAACGGATGAATTACGTATAATAAAATTTCAGCATATAATTGATAGGTGACAGAATTTACCCGCCCCGGCGTCACGCCTCTTTTTGTGCTTTTGTGCCTTGTGGTCTTCCGTGGTCTCGAGCTACCGTGGTCTCGAGCGGGCAAAAAGTCGAAAATTAATTACTTGCTAGATTACGACAATAAAGCTGGAAATTAAGGCTAATAAGGATTACAATAAACGAAACTATTGAATACGAAAGTTTCAACTCAACTCACGATGTGTTCTTCCACATAAATGCTCCATGCCCCAATTTATATTTTGTTCATGAGAGTTATTGATGAATAAATTACAACGAATGCGGTAAACATAATGTTGTTAAATATGTAGAATGCAAGACATTCTCATTTTGGCATTCTGTAATTACCAGGTGAGAAAAAGGCGATGATTACGCGTGATGTGCTAGACAAGCAGCGTTTTTGAAATTGATTTTTTTTCGTTCATAATGGCATCAAGTGCAGATTTACACTCATAAATATTAAAAAAATATAACTCAGTACTCACTGCAGAGAGTGGTAGAGAGCGCATTTTTTCGTCGACGAAAACGTGGTCACGGACGGACGGACGGACAGACAGACGGACGGACATGACGAGCACAATAGCGCCTTTTTTCTATAAATGAGAAAATGCGCTAAAAATACTATATTTTCAAGATCAGTGTTAAATACTTATCACTTCGAAGGTATGAATGAACTATTAAAACTGTATTAAAACTATACATGGTTCACGTCCATCATTATCATCGCACAGTTCTAATCTGGCGATTATACTTAGCAGTTAATATTTAACAATCGCACTATCCATCGGAATCATTGTGAATGTGAAATAAGTGTGTTATCTCTGATTATTGATGCAGATCGAGACAGCAACAACTTCGCCTAGCAACTGCTTGCAGGGCTCAGCCCCAGGAGCTGTCACGGCCGCTACAAGGGAAAGCTTCATGTATGTAGACACGTGAACTCGTTGCAGTCGGTATATCAATGACAGGAGACGAAGGTGTCTGCAAAAAGTAGCGACTGCTAAACAAGGAAAGATTTACTGCAGTTGGATACGCTCTTTAGCGTCCACTCAGTGGGCTTATTTTGAAAGCCACAAATAATAGTCAGTTAAAAGGCACATAATTTAAAAGAGTCAATTTAGGTCACCGAATAGTTCTAGAATTTACCAATTCAAATTATCATGGATTATTAAGAATAAGAGTGTTGACAACGGCATAGTTTTAAAAATAATTGTTTGAAAAAGGTTAGATATTTTTCGATGCTCGTGGTAGTCGGTCAGAAAAAGTTGTAAATTGTCCTTAGTGAATGACGAGTTTTCGGTCAACAGATGTCGCAAAATAAGCAAGATGTTTATTTCGACAGCCTCCTGAGACTGAAATATATTGTTATATGTGCATCAGCATCAACAAACTGTCTTGTCAAGATCATGAACAACAATTCTTGTTTCTATGTTATCTCCAAGTCATGATTCAAGAAGGATTTCTTCGAGTGTCACTTACAAGGCCATCAATTAAAAAAAATGAATTATATTAAAATTGAAAAATCAGAACAATTATTTCTTATACGGTCATTATCATTCAAGCTGACAAATTGGAGTCTTGGAATTAAAGAACACGTTGCGAGTGCTACCAAGATTTTAATATAATTAACCGCTTTCGAAACGTTATAAAAAGATTTGCGAAGAAATTCCTAGGAACAAGATCATATCTGAAATCAAACAAATTTTCCTAAAAAAGTCAAGTTTGCCTAAACCACGAGGAAAATGACGTCGATACTTAATGACGCTCAGAAATAGGTTTTAATTCATGACTCTTCGCAGTTGCTGCCGAGCTTAGACAAAGCGAAAATAACTCCACGAGAGGTGGCATTTTTCTTGTAGAAAATGACACACGCATTCCTAATGAAGTATTTTTTTGAATAGCTAGGAATCGCCCATTAGAAGTAGTCTTTCCATGCCAGCTAACATTATAATATATGTGCAGTATCATCAAAATAAAATGAAATTAGCTGGAAATTGCATTTAACAATCGAAAGTGCTCAATAAATGTTGTGCCATCATAGTGGTTATCATTAGATTAATTGAAACCATACTTAAATTAATGATGAATCGGGTTCTTAAGCCCAGTTTTACAATCAAATAAAGCATTTATTCTAATTTAGTAAACTAAAACATTTTCATTTAGATACCGTGATCTGTTTAATTAACGTAACTAAATAACGGCAATGTATGAAATTTAAACAAACATTCATCTCGGTCGAGGATTTTACTATGATACTTATAAATTAACCGAGGATTAAGATGTCACAATGAAGGATCAAGTAGATAATTTTTGTATAAGTTAGTTTGAAAAATGCTGGTTGGGATCGGGATGCTGCTACAAAAATTTCGAACTTTATTCCGGATTCGTTTAAACAAAGGAGCGCAATTATTCATCCAATTTCTTTAAGTCTGATATATTTTATTGCCAAGGCCATAAAAGTGATATTCATTTCACGTCATCATTGAAGGCCATCACTGTTATTTTTGCAACCCAAAAAACAAGACGCCTGAATCACTAGGTATTGATTGCTATTGCTATTGCCTACACTTAAGATGTCGAAGACTGATTTTTATTATTTGCTTTAACGTATCATTGTTAGCTATATCAAATCTACTATCATATCTACAAATCTACACAAAAACTATGTACATATTTTATTTCCATTAGTTAATAAAGGCCTGAATGTTTGGAATAAATTTAGTCTTAGGAATTCTTAAATAGCCAAGTTATTGTCAGACCTCTTTTCTATATTGGGAATGAATGCTTAATATAATAGATTTCTAATTAATGTTCTATTTTCTATAACAAAATATATAGTAAACTTTATCACTAAGACGGTGAACTTTTCATTGAATTAACACCACGTCTACATATTCTAGTATTTCATTCATATCTGAACGGAATTTGGATGCTATTTACCTCCGAAGAATCAGCGGAAATATTTCAGATGGCATTGCAAGCGCAGGCGTATGCCGAGGCTCGGCCGTGCGCGGCAAGGTATGCCGCGGTGTTGGCACGCGCCACA